AGAAAGGGATTTCGGTGGGTAAACATTCAAGCAGCTTTGGCAGGAAGAAATCTTGGCATATTTCCAGACCTTTGGTGCAAATTGACTGTGCTGCCACAAATGGCATCATAGCAATTTTTTTTTCACATCAAGTGAATTCTTAGATGAAAACTACCAATGGCATATTAAGAAATGCACTGTTTCTGAGAAAAAAAATATATAAAAGTATATATGTCCAGGAAGGCCTGTCCATAGGAAGGAAAGTGATTAGCCATTATGTTCCTGAGACAGAAAAGTGGAAGGACACAGTAGCAGGTGAATTATTGACATGGTAGCCTACAGTCCGGGCAGAAAACTTTGCAAGCTGTTGCCAAAGCCTCTCTGTCCACACAGGGTTTTCTTAAGCCAGTTTAGAAGCAAGTTGGCATGAGTAGGCATAGCTTAAATGAGTTGCTGTTCAAGTGAGAAAAAAAAAGACAAAAAGTTGAGAAGCTGAGAAAGCCACCAACTTCCCTTCCAACAGAGTTCGTGCATTCTGCTGCAACAAGGGTATTAGTGGGGCTGAATTGGGTTGGCCTCAAAATCCCAACATTTAACTATTACTGCCACTAGACTGCATTTATTGAAAGTTGATATCCAAGCTGGGAGCAAATGGCTTGTAGCAAGGAAGATGAAGAGTCCTAGAACAAAAGAATGTTTAGTTCCCTCCACCCATTCTGGTTTATTATGGGTATTTCCCCTCTTCTCAGTGGAGCAATCATACTCAAAGAAGGCTGAGATGGGGACATTTCTTAAAAAGTAACTCTCTCTGCTGTGCTGCTATGTACCTATCAGTTCCTCACTGCTGGCAGCAAGAAGTCATTTTAATAAGGGGATACAGCAGCACTATCAGTGTTGTTTAATGTTATAGACTTAATGTTGGCATCATAGTAAAGGTTTTTTTTTATTATTACTATTATTCCTAAGAGGCAATGTCAGCTGTGTAGAAAAAACATGGCTGTGTTTGTACAACCTGCTAACCCATGGTGTACTGAACTTTAGTTGACTGAATTCACTCAATTGTTTGTATTCAAACATACTGGTACATTAACCTATCACACTGGCTAGATTAACACACCATATCTTGTGCTACAAATTAGTTAACCATTTTAGTCTTGTATGCTATGCAAACTGTCCAATGTCTGTTTTTAGTATCCATTGAAAGAGAACTGAGGGCAGAATATACTAGCACTCAGTTTTTGAACTCAGTTATATATACATATTCAGAGGATGAAGAACTTGTCAGTTTCAGCCAGTATCCCAGAAACATGATGCTGTAGGCAGTGGCCTCTTAGTGGACTTAATGGCCAGTGAAATGGCTGAGTAATGAGTCAGTTAAACAGCTGGGTCTCACAGTGATGCTACAAATCAGCTAGAACTGGTTGGAGAGAAAATTGAAAAGAGCTAGAAGAAAGTAGCAGTCCATCATGAATGTGCCCCAAGTGACCAATTAGCTGAAGATTTCAAAGAAAGTAAAGCTTACAAGTGGAAAAAGTGCCAAAGAAAAAGAAAGAAAGTCACTGACATTATCAGGAGCCAGTGGAAAACAGTGTAGCTGGGGACAGGTAAAGTTTCATCACATTAGTGAGGAGACAGCCTGGAGGTCCCTAGCCCATACCAGAGGCAGTCTTAAATCATCCTTTGCTTTCTGGTTTAAAAGTAATGGTTTCCCTGTTATCCTTTACGGACCCAATTTTTGCCATGGATACAATACACATGCTTCCTTAGACATGCTGTTGTTGACTCAGTCAGGTGATTCCTAGGGGGTTAAGATCAGCCCAGGCAGGTTCTGTTGGCTACTTTAAGCTGGTGTGAGCATCAACCGTCCAGTCCGTGGGAACTCTCCTCCCAGACTGTTTTGGTTTGGGGAGCAGGACAGTCTGGTTCTTTCAGGGTGAGTTCTCTCTGTATAACTACCAAGTCTCTAAGCTGATCCCCAGCTTGGATTAGCTGACTAGCAGCTGACCAACAGCAGCAGGAGGGAAGCAGAAGAGGGAGGGCTGTTTCTCTGCCACTTCATGTTGCAACCCTCCTTTCATCTATCAGCTGTTATTGAGATATATTTGGACAGAAGTTTAGTCGTCTTCTAGAATAATGTTAAACTCAATGGAAGAACACTGAACCTGTCCAACTATTAGCTGATACCAACTGATATCAGGTTCCCTCTGAATACACCTATGTGAAACACTTGTACACAACCAGATTGAATTTTGACAGATGGTTAAACTTGCCAGTTTAGCCATCTGTCAAAACTTGTATCCTTCCTATCCTTCCTATCAAGCTCCAGCCCTATCCCACATTAAGGAGAGTGGTTGGTGGATGTTTTTGTTTTTTATCTCCTCAGGGTTACCTGGGAGTGCAAATGAAAAAGAAAGGGAAAAAATAAGGTCCCACTGATTGTACTACTGTGGATTCCCTCCCTTCAGTTTGTGGGGAGGGAGGCAGGATGTGCCCAGCCTCCTTCAGAGCACTAGAGAGATCTAGATCATGGCTGCTCCCTGGTTGACTTGGTCATCAGCAATCATGTGCTGCTGGTACATGGGGGGTGAATCAGTTAATTGGTGCAATAGCTAATTTGATCATGTGACCATAGCCATGGCCAATCAGCAAAACACATTCCAAAATAAAGCCAATTAAAGTTTGTCTCCCTTCCCACCCAGCCTTCAAAGGCAAGACATGGTACACAGGCAATTCCTCATTTCATATTGACTCCCCAACCCCCCTCCCCTTAGATGGCCCTAGAGACTGTTGCTTCATCTGGAAGCCTCCCAATTAAAATGCTAGAGAGTGTGTCCATAGGCACAACAGTGCTCAGAGTCACTACATAAGAGACCACAGTATTAAGTCTGTTTATCCTATATATAACTAAAAGAATGTAAACTCCATGGAGTGATTACTCTCGGGTCATTGTACTTAGGGTTGCAACATTAAAGTAACATGCCACCGGTTAAAAGAAAGCAACCCTATCAAACAGAAAAGTCTATACTGCTGAGTATATAACAGCAATTCATATATTTTTTAAGTGAACCATATTAACTGAATTCTTATTTAAATGAAAATGTCACAAGCAGTTAAATAATTGTAAAAATATCAGTTGTATGTTGTCTTGGAATTTCTGGGAATTTTAAATAAATACTGAATAACATTGTGGATTCCATTAGCAGTGTTTTGACTAACTCAGCTCTCAGCTTCACTTCCTTATGCAAACCAGAAATATATACAACAGTGGCAGATTCCAAATGTCATCCTGCAGTGCTTAAAACAAATCACTTGGCTTTTCTTTAGCATTTATTTTTGAGCCCAGCGCTATGAATAGCAAAACATTTATATGTAACATTTTTCCATTCTCCTCCTTAATAACAAATGGCCTAGTAGAGCAAATGGGATTGTCATAAAGCTGGCCTTTTTTTCTGTAACCATCTTTCCAAAAAAGTGACAAGCCTGTTTGGAGAAGGGCAAGTCTATGAGGCTTTGAAGCCATTATACTTTGAAAGGAAAGATGCAATTCAGGGTGGCCTTCCCATATTATTTACACAATAATTAAAAAATATTTTATTTCCAACTGACAATGCAAAGAGAAATAAGAATTGCACACAAAGTAGAAGCAAGGAAACTGAGAAAGGTTTGAAACTGATCAAATTAATGGTAACAATAGGCCTTGCTATGGTAACAAATACTGTTCCCAATTCTAAAACCTGCATAACTTATTTCCCAGACTGATGCCATCAAGCTGTGAATTTTCCGTTTCTGTTTCTGTGCCTGGTATTAGTTACAGAAATATGCAGGTTGATGGGGAATTTTTATCATCATATCATGATCCTGAGAAATATGCTTAGTGTTTTAATTTAACACATGAGAAAAGGGGATTGATTAACACAAGGTAATTTTGAGATGAGAAATAATTCTCCTACAGCCTTATTTTATTACAGTTGCAATGTTAGATAGCACTGAGTTTGGGCAAGAGCTGTACATTTCTAATGATTTGATAATTGTGAAAGTAATTCTAGTGCATTGTGATTAAGTTTAATTCCCACTAAGCAGTAGTTGAGAGTAGCACTCTATGTAAAAGCCCATAAATGTAGATGCCAGACACTATTCTTCCACATTTGAAAAGCATGGAAATGTTCATGCAAATCCAGCTGGTGCATAGCTGCCACTTGAACTGAGAATTCATTTTATGAGCTTCTCTGCTTTTTTCATCTTCACCTGCAAGCAGAAATTTCTACTTTATGTTCAGGAATGTCTGCAGGGAGGGTCCAAAAAGTCAAGTGGTGGCCACAACCATACAATTGAAGCCCCACCTTTTTTTAACATGTGTTGCAATGCACATAGAAAAGGGGCAGGGCTTTGGTTCTTGACTTTTTGGATCCCTGGTGACACTCCTGTTTAGGGTTGTTAACTCTGTCAAAATTAAAGGGCAAAGATGCCCTTTAGCTAAACTGAATTCTTGGTAACTTCATAGACATGTCCATGTAGTTTTCTGGCACAGTATGAACATAGTATTAATGGAAGAGAATATATGTAGCTCAGGAAATATAGTTTTCCAGGATGCTTTTTCAACTTCAAACTTTAGCTTCCTTTAAAAATTATCATTATTTGCTGTGCCTTGGCTTTTCATAAATCCTGTTTTACCTGTATCCTACAGTTAATACAGGCACATAATGATTACAACTAATATGTCATTTCCAAGTGTTATACTTGGTAACCCTATCCAAATAGAAAAAGTCATCTAGTCTCAAGTCCTAATTATAGCAGATGTGATTGGACACTGCTTAGTTGTAAAGCAGTGACAGGGTGATTTAAAGAGGAGTTGTAGCAAATGGAAGAAGAAAGAAGCATTATTTGGTCTATTCTTCTTTTCTTCATTATGGCACCAATACTATTAAATACAGCAAGATACATACTGTGATCATTTATAGAAGAAAGAGTTAAATTCGACATGACTGTGCCTATGAAATGACAAGAAAACAATATATATTTTTTAGAATTACAGCTCAATAAGGCTCAATTAAGCACAGTATATGAACCCAGCCTATCCACTAGAAAGAGTTGAGTTTGGGAGTAAAAGTGCTGGGCAGAAAGCATCATGCTTTAATTCCACTGTATACTGTTCTTTAATTATACTGTCAGAAGTATATAATAAACACAGTGTAGTACCACATAATGCAAATACAGAGATCAGAGGGGATAGTTGCTAAGGAAATAGGCACAAACAACACTTAAGAATAGTTTGTTCCACACTTAACATATTCTTCTTCATCATCATCATCATCATTTTGGCTAAAAGCACACACAAAATATTTTTAGTATAACACTCCTTATCATAAAGCTTATTTATGTACACTGTGTATGAGGGTGTAATCCTTTGGCCCAAGCTTATTTATGACTGAAGAAATTGCTTTGTCAAACTTCAGTGATGTATTGCCTTGGTAATTTATAAAATTTTAATCAGAAAATACCAAATGTTCTTTCCTATATTAGCACCAATAGACAGATGTGAACAGGCAGCAGTAATCTGAACTAAATCTGTGATTAGAAGTTGCCACATATCATATACATTACTGAGGTGACATGGAACTAAAGCAATACTCACTTTAAAATACAGAATGTTTTCTCTCACTTTTCTCTAACTGAATAATTATACAAAATTTGTTCTCAAGCATTGAAGATTTGTTTTCTGACTTAATTATCTTCAGTAACAACACATTTGAAGTTACTGAACTTATTTTGAACACAACCACATATTCCCCTAACTCTACCTTGAAGATCTGTCACTACATATCCTTTAAAGGCATAGCCTACTGACACAGCCTTCATCTTACCCACAGCCCATAACTGAGATCATTGAACTTAGTTTGCAGCTGGTGCTTTCCATCTTCTCCCAACACAAGACTTGCTGTATGCATACATTGGGGTGCTTCAGTGATGACCACAGAAATGAAACAGTTGGAGGCTGGAATCTGCCCAGTTCCTGTTGGCCTTTTTTGGATCCCTAAAATCAGTACTTGGAATTAATGGAAAAAACACTATAAATCTCTTAAAAATACAGTATAATTTTACCTACATTTGAGATTATTATAAAGTATTCTTCAGCTGGTCAAGTTCTTCAATGCACTGATGCAGTAATTTTAGATAGTGTGAGATAAATTAGCACTGGCCTTTCATTAGAGAAGCATGTTGGCTATATTTTTGTTTTGTGAAAAAGATCTCATACACTCCAGTAGCATCAGTGATTTATTTAAGAAGGCTAAAAAATGCTGCATTAATAGATTTTGGATCAACATCAAAAGGAATCTTTCAAAAAGAATTACAGTGCTTTCTTGAAATCATTTGTAATATAGTCTTTGCTTAAACTTTTATTTCTGAGTCAGCTGATTAGTAATTAGGTTCTTTCAGGCACTGCAAGCCTGAAGTCTAAGCCTGTGCATACCAAGGCTTACTTTTGTAAATAATTCATGCAACTTTTTAAACTGTGTAACTACTGTAATGTCAAAGCAGTTGTCAAAGAAGACCACAAATACTTATGCTGAAAATAAAACTGTTTATATCCTTGCACACAAAATAGGAAAGAACTACTGCTCTGTGTCATGTGCTGAAAAGTCCCATATCTCATCCAGTACTGGTACCAGTTATAAAGAATTAAGTTGTTGGTATTTGGAGTATTTTTAAAATCAAGTAGCAGGCAAAAGTAACACAGTTCCAATTTAAGATTCCTTTGTACAAACTTACAGATTGGTGCTCAAACTAAATATTATAAAAGCCGCAGTGCTATTTAAGGGAATAATTCCATTAACAAAAATTAATATATATGAATAGATTTTAATTTTGTAGAGTCACTATTAATGCTTAAGAATTAGCTTCTTCCACATTTATTGGTATAGGATTAGTTACAGGAAATACTTTCTGCTTTAGATCTGCGTTAGCATATACTCCACTTTCATCTTGCCATGTGTTGATCCCATGTCTTCTGTAATCTGCTGTGTCAGTAAACTGAGAATGACATTTTCTATGTACTACAGAGTATCCACCTGTATCAGGTATAACCTAAGCAAAAGATATTAGCATATGTTATTACTCAAAAGAAAGTTCTGAGGAGCAAACTTTAACAAAGGCAGTACTGTATACCAAAAATAAATTTAATCAGTTGATACATTTCTCTTCCAATAACACTTTATTAAATCACTTGGCTCAAATTCAGAAATGTGCATGCGAAAAGCTATGTGTGTGGCAACATTTTTAAACAGATTTTCCCAGAACAGCAAATCTGTACTCATGTCTAATGCATATGATTTTCAGTGTCTAAAAGAACAGATTATAATATTACATAATACAACCCTGTTTGCCAAATCTTTGCTTCCTATGAAGAATACAGGGTTCTCTTAGTCATGGCCTCTATCTATCATTAAGATGATAGATATATCATACTAGATACTTATAAGATCTCATAAGATATATTATGTAACATTTAATAAAAGTGACTATAGTTTAAGAGCCAATTTTAATAATCACAAAAATAGACTTCACACAAGGATTAAGTGGATCTTTAGTGCTGCCAATACCCTCCATTCCAAACTAGATCCTTGTTATGGGTCTGTCCTCTACACTGCTGCCACCCCTTGTATTCCCTCTTGCCCTGGGAAGTGTTGCAGTTGCCAAGGCAGGTAGTCCTCAACTTAATTCGTTCAGCGACTGGTCAAAGTTGTGGCAGTGCTGAACGAAGGGACTTATGACCGGTCCCCAAAGTTATGGCTGTTGCAGCACCCTCACACTCATGAGATCAAAGTTCAGGCACTTGGCAGCCTGCCCACACTTACAACCACAGGGGCACTTCAACTCCCCCACCTACCTATCTTCCCCCCTCGATGCCCTTTTGGCCCCTGCATTCCGTGGCCCCTGCTGCCCTGTCAAGCATACCTAGCCTGGTCTTTTGTGAGGCAGCTACTGGCCACACAGGACTTTCTTCCCCAGGTTGCATATGGCCGTTTCCTCATGAGACCTGGGGAAGATGGCCTCATGTGGCCAGCAGCTGCCTCACAAAAGGCCAGGCCAGGCACACCTCATCATCAGCAGGAGCAAGAAGATGGTGAAGGTCAGCTGGGAGGGTGGAGCGCAGGGCGGCAGGGTCCTCAGAGTGCAGGGTTGCAAGGGTGACTGCAGCTGGGACTAGGCTGGGGCAGCTGCAACTTCGCACCACACTGCTGGGCCAGGTTGGGGATGGGCTTCATGCTGCGAAGGACTCTGCATTGTGATGTAGCTCAGGGGCTTCTTGGAGCCCCAGAGACATAGCGCGCCAAGAAGCCCCTTTGCGCTGTGAGATTAAGGAGTTTTCATCATGTCTTCCAATTGCTAGTTGGTGTTCATGGATGCACTCTGCTAGTCTTCCGCCTGTCTGTCCTACATAGTGGTTGTTACACTCCTTAATCTCACAACACATGGACAGACTCTACCATAGTTTCAACTGGGAAGCTGTGAACATCCTAGACCAAGCTAAATCTTAAAATGCTAGGGATATAAACAGGGAGCAAACCCCACATTCACCAGCACTGATGATGTTACCTAGTCGGGTAATGAAACATCTAGAAGCAAACAACCAAGCTCAGAAAGCACCAAGGACTCCACAGTTCAACTTCGAGCTACATATATTCTCTTCTATTGAATCGTCTATGGAAGCAGATGGGCCCCAGCATAGCTGGGAAATCATAATTCCAAGCATTGATACCAGGTTTAATTCAGAAGATCCATTAATTTGCTGATACTAGTTTGGTGTAGTAGTTAAGGCACCAGGCTAGAAACCCAGAGACCATGAGTTTCAGTCCTGCCTTAGGCATGAAACCAGCTGGGTGACTAGGGCCAATCACTCTCTCTCTGAGTCCTAGAAAGGAGGGAATGGCAAACCACTTCTGAAACCTTGCCAAAAAAAAACTGCAGGGACTTGTCCAGGCAATTGCCAGGAGTCAAAAACTGACTCGAAGGCACCAAAAAAAAAAAAAAACACCCCTAAATGTTGCAAAGCAGCTGCTGGAAAGGGAAATTTTTAAAGTTTCCATTCCAATGAAAACCCTTATATATTCAAAGTCCTAGGGATCTGAAACATTACAGCTGCAGAGAGTGCCTTCAGATGGAAATATTGTTATACTGCTGTTTCCCATAGACACACAAAAGGCTTTCAATTTGCATGGAAACAGCATCTTATATATCTTGAAGTTTTTATGGAAAAAAATCAGTACTAGCTAACAAGCACGTATCACATTATCACATTATTTCAGTAGGCATGCACTTGAAAAGAAAAGGAAAAATGACCCTATATGCAATTGTTGCTGAAGAGAAATGCTTGAACCAGTTAATCTGAACATTATTTAAGTTAAACAGTTACATCAGTAGAATAGCTATTATTTCATAGCAGGTGAAGGGTTGAGATCAGGTGGTTCGGGCTGTAGAATAAAATGAAAGTTTTTTTTTAAAGTTGGCGAAAAAGGATCAAGTTTAGTGTGCATGTAAATTTCAGAAAGAAAAATCGCTGTATCTTTCACATGATCGATCCCATCTGCATGTCATTTGGCTCAGCATGAAAACAGCCCCCTAATGTTTCTCAAGGACATGAGTGCACTGTGTCATCATCAAACACCCTCAGCCCACAGTGAATGAAGCCTTTACTTTCGTGCTGTGCTTCAAGACTGGGGTTTTCTAACTTCTGGAACACCGCTTCCTGGAACAAGCAGGGCTACCCACTCCATCTGCACTGCTTCGTTTCCTCAGTGATTGAAGCCCATGTTATTTTGGCGCTCTTAACTTTCAGGTAAGCATGCTAAGAACTGAACTCTTATTTTCAGGTTCAGTTTATACTTTCATTACAAGTTACTTATTTTGGGAAAATGATCTGGTAGTGCCTATGTTTGTCTGACCAGTAAATTAAAAGAGAAGAATTTTTATAGAACATAAAATGTATTATTCTTGCTTAGGACTTAAGTGATGCACAGACCAAATTTTTTTTTTAAATGCCACAATTATTGGAAAAAATATTCACAAAATTTTCATTTCTTATAAATTATATAAGAAAAATATTATTTCATAGTAAATAAGTGGCCTTTTTGAAAGCTTCATTATTTTTCTATAAGAATGTATGTATCCTGTTTAAAATAGAAAAGGGGAATTCTAAATACTAGTAACATAGTGATTCTGCTATTTAGGTAAATAGTTTTCTAAATGTTTTAATTTGTATAGTTAAAGCCTCTAAAATCAGTAAAAGATAAAATTTCCTCAATCAATAACAATTAAGGGGGAAAACTCTAACCAATGGCAAATAGAAAGCAAACTTTCCTTAAATCATAGGTGAATGGATTAATAAGAGTTCTGTAGTTTCCTGCCAAGGCTTTAAAGAAGCAGGATAGAAAGAGTATTGACGCTTTTGTACTTGGTGCTGGAGAAGACTCCTGAGAATACTGTAAACTGCCAAGAAAACAAACTGATGGATCATTGAACAAATCAACCCAGAGTATTCACTCAAGGCCCAAATGACCAGGCTCAAAGTACTTTGGACTCTGCAAAGACCTACATCTCTGGAAAAGTATATAATGCTGGGAAAAGTGGGAGGAAATAGAAGATGACCAGCAGCAAGCTGCATGGACTCAGTTACAGTGGCAATGGATGCACCATTGGAAGCCCTGAAGGAACAGGTTGGAGACATCCTCCTGGAGAAAATCCATCATGTGGTTGCTAAGAGTTGATAGTGACTTGATGCAACATAATAATAATAATTAAAAAATTCCTGCCACACACAGCTACAAATTCTGCAATATAACATCCACACATGTAACTACCAATAGTAGGGATTGTCAGGAGTTTCTCATGGGAAGAGATTCATCCCGTTATCTGTACAACAATATTATGGCTACATGGATTATGAAAAAGCTTGTTATTGTGTGTTGTGCACGTATACTGCTAATTACTGCCACCTATTGGCGTGGGTATGCTAGTTACCCAGTGGGGGGGTATGGAGTGGCAATATAACTGGAGCATTGTATGCCCAGCCTCGCAGTTGTTTTAGCGTTAGCCTCCATGCAGTTAAGTAGTTTTATGGGTTATGTAGTT